GAGATAAGGTCTGGCTGGCAACAACTAACCTAAAATTACGTTGTCCGCCAAAAAAGCTAGGACCAAAATTTTTAGACCCCTTCCAGGTTAAATGCATGATCAACGAGGTGGCTTATGAGCTTGCCCTTCCGGAGACCTTTAAGATCCATCCAGTGCTTCATGTCTCATTGCTGAAACCAGTGGTCGCAGACCCATTTCCGGACCAGGAATCCAGGCCCCCTGAGGCTATTACAGTGGAGGGACAGGAAGAATTTGAGGTGAAAGCAATTCTGAACTGTCGTAGGAGGGGGGCCAGACCCAGGTTTTGATTAAGTGGAAAGGCTATGGTCCTGAAGAGAATTCTTGGGAACCTGCTCAAAATGTTCATGCCCCCAGACTTATGCGGGAGTTTGTGCGTGGTCACCCACTGTGGAGAGATCAGTTGGGCACCCGGAGGATGCCCATAGGGGGGGGGGGGGGGGGGGGCAATGTCAGGGACCATCGCGACGCATGGGTCTACACATGCGTAGGCGTCTGTCAAGACGTGCAGGTAGCAGGGCACTAGGACCCAGGCGCAGCCGTCGTCTTGACAGTGCTAGGCAGGCACTGGGACCAAGGCGGCGCCTGTCAGGTGCAGGGTGGGCTACTTAACCAGCCCTGCACAGACGCTTGTTGCCGAATGGTCTTTTGTATCCTGTTGCCTGTGTTGTGAGTACGCTGATCTGGATTGTCTGACCTTGTTGCCTTCTCCTGTCCTGACCCCTTGGCTTGCCTGACTCTGCTCCTGGATGTTCCCTTATAGATCTGATCTTTTGGTATTGACCCTGCGTGTGACCCGAATATCCTTTGCCTATCGTCTTGTACCTCACCGACCCGCTAGTTTACCGACCCGGCTTGTTTGACTCTGACTTTGCTCATCCGTCCATCCATCCTTCAGGGATCCCTGGGCTCCCTCACATCAGACTCTTAACCCGCTGGAGCCCTTGGCAGACTCCTCTACCTCTGGTAGAGATACCTAGCAGCTGCGACCTGGTCCCGGAGCGCTCCAAGTCCATCCCCACCATCAGGGGCCCTGGTGAACAAGTGCTCCGGTACTTAGACTCCGCACTCTGGGGAGGCTCTATCAGGGGACTGATAGAGGTACTGTCAGGCGGTCCGTTACAGGAACTCCCAAGCCAAAATGTAAAAAAAAAAAGCACCCCCTCCTAAACCATACCAGGCCATATCAAAGATGTCACATGGGGTGGGGTCACTCGGGTGATGTCCCTGGGTGGCCCCGCCCCTTACATATTTAAGAACTATCAAAACCACCAAAGCAGGCAGACGGCCGGGGACCATCGTCGGGAGCGGAGGCTTTTTTTTTTTTTTTTTATTCTTTTTTTGGGGGTCGGCGGCGGACATCGTGATTGATGTTGGATCTACTGCAAGCGACATTTTTTCTTTTAATAAAGGACTTATCAAAAACCGTGTCCTGTCTTTTTTCACACTACACTTTTTGTTTTTTGTGAAGGAGTAGCGGGACCATGTACCCCATACTTATTCACATGGGGGGGGCCGGGATCTGGGGGCCCCCTCGTTAAACAGGGCTTCCAGATTCCGATAAGCCCCCTGCCCGCAGACCCCCACACCTATCGGCCAGGGTTGTGGGGAAGATGCCGTTGTCCCCATCAACATTGGGACAAGGTGCTTTGGGGGGGAGCCCCCCTGCCCCAAAGAACCCCCCCATGTTGAGGGCATGTGGCCTGGTAAGGTTCGGGGGAGGGGGCACTAGCTGGTCCCCCCCCCCTTTCCTGACTTGCCGGGCTGCATGCTCGGATAATGGATAAGGATCTGGTATGGATTTTGGGGGGGGGGGGGGGGGACTCTTTTTTTTTTTATTTTTTTTTTAAATTTTGGTGTGGGAGTTCCCCTCAAAATCCATACCAGACCTCAAGGGCTTGGGATGAATGGGAGGGGGGGACCCCATGCCGTTTTTTTAAATATTTTTTTTTTAATTGCCGACAATTCTTTTACATTCAGCTGTCAGTGGGAACCCCGCTGACAGCTGAAACATTAACACATGGTTGTCACTAAAATACCGCATGACTTGATAACATAACTCATGCGGTATTTTAGTAGCATTTACTTTTTTCTGACCTCCAGAACGGATTACTTGGTTTTCAATGCATTCCTATGGAAAACGGCATTTCGGTTTACAAATTTTCGCTACAGTAAAACTAAAACCAAGGTATGCCTGTATTCTAATTTTCTGCGATACTGAATTTTTACTAGCTGTAAGCCATAATCATCAAAATTAAAAGAAAGAAAGAAATGCTTGAAATATATTTGTATATATCTCCTGATCACTTCCCAATAGTACAATGTTACTATGGTAACACTGTATTGCTCTGATCTCAGTTTAAAAAAAAAAAAAATGTAATGCAAAAATTTGAACATTTTTTGGACCATCACCAGTCACTGTCCCTGATCACCACCACACCAGTTGTATGATGATGCTGTGTAAATATTATGGCAAAAAAATTACAACTTCAAAAACTTGCAATGCCTCTTACAAAATTTCTCAGACTGTCTACTTTCTTTAAGGAGTCATTTGAGGGATATCTGTGCTGTCCTGAAATTGTAAAATGTATTTTATTGGGATTTAATGTGATAGACCAACACAAAGTGGCACATAATTGTGAAGTAAAAGGAAAATGATAAATGGTTTTCAACAAATAAATATGTGGAAAGTGCGGTATGCATTTGTATTCAGCCCCCCTGAGTCATTACTTTGTAGAACCACCTTTCACTGTAATTACAGCTGCAAGTCTTTTTGGGGATGTCTCTACCAGCTTTGCACATCTAGAGAGTGACATTTTTGCCTATTCTTTGCAAAATCGTTCAAGCTCTGTCAGATTGCATGGAGAGCATCTGTGAACAGCAATTTTCAAGTCTTGCCACAGATTCTCAGATGGATTTAGGTCTGGACTTGACTGAGCCATTCTAACACATGAATATGCTCTGATCTAAGCCATTCCATTGTAGCTCTGGCTTCATGTTTAGGGTCGTTGTCCTGCTGGAAGGTGAACCTCCGCCCCAGTCTCAAGTCTTTTGCAGACTCTAACAGGTTTTCTTCTAACCTTGCCCTGTATTTGGCTCCATCCATCTTCCCATCAACTCTGAACAGCTTCCTTGTCCTGCTGAAGAAAAGTATCCCCACAACATGATGCTGCCACCACCATGTTTCACAGTGGGGATGGTGTGTTCAGGGTGATGTGCAGTGTTAGTTTTCCACCACACATAGGGTTTTGTTTTTAGGCCAAAAAAGTTCTATTTTGGTCTCATCTGACCAGAGCCCCTTCTTCCACATGTTTGCGTTTGCTGTGTCCTCCACATGGCTTCCTGCAAACTGCAAACAGGACTTATTATGGCTTTCTTTCAACAATGACTTTCTGCTTGCCATTCTTCTATAAAGGCCAGATTTGTGGAGTGCACAACTAATAGTTGTCCTGTAGACAGATTCTCCCAGGATCTCTGCAGCTCCTCCAGAGTTACCATGGGGCTTCTTGGCTGCTTCTCTTATTAATGCTCTCCCTGCCTGGGCTGTCAGTTTACGTGGATGGCCATGTCTTGGTAGGTTTGCAGTTGTCCCATACTCTTTCCATTTTTGGAATGATGGATAGAACAGTGCTCCTTGAGATGTTCAAAGCTCTTGATATTTTTTTTTTATAACCTAACCCTGCATTAAACTTATCCACAATTTTATCCCTGACCTGTCTGGTGTGTTCCCTGGCCTTCATGATGCTGTTTGTTCACTAATGTTCTCTAAATCTCTGAGTGCTTCACAGAACAGCTGTATTTATACTGAGATTAAATTACACACAGGTGGACTCTATTTACTAATTAGGTGACTTCTGAAGGCAATTGGTTCCACTAGATTTTAGTTACAGGTATCAAAGTAGGCTGAATACAAATGCACGCCACACTTTTCAGATATTTATTTGTATAAAAAAACAATTATGTGCCACTTTGTGTTGGTCTATCACATAAAATCCCAATAAAATACATTTATGTTTTTGGTTGTAACATGACAAAATGTAGAAAATTTCAAGGGGTATGATTATTTTTCAAGGCACAGTAGGCTGTCAGTACATCAGAATGAATCAATTTTCTGATATATACCATAGTTTCTGGACTCTATAACTTTCCTACAGACTGAATAAAAACGCTGATTGGGGTTTCACCACAGAAATGTAATCAGAATACATTTGTGCCTAAATTTATGAAAAACTATTATTTATTTGCAAAATTTTAACACAAAGAAAAACTTTTTTTTGTTTATCTAGCAAAAAATTAAAAAACCAGTGGTTTACAAAATACTACCAAAAGAAAGCGCTAATTGTGTGAAAAAAAATTATAAAAATTTAATTTGGGTAGTGTTGCATGACCAGGCAATTGTCATTCAAAGTGACCGCAATGAAAGCTGAAAATTGGCCTGGGCAAGAAGGAGGTGAAAGTGCCCGGAATTGAAGGGGTTAAAGAGTAAAACTAAAACTCTTACTTCAATCTGTAAGGAATCAGGCAGGCCCTTTGCTGCTTATAGATGAAGTTTAGTGATTTATTTTGTTAATCGGTGCTGGTGACTGCTGTGTTTGATGAGATTTTCAGTCCTATCGGTTCCCACGATGAAGAGCACGCTAGGAATGAAGGAGGCAGACCCTTCATTCATACAGTACTCTTCATTTTGGGAACCAATATTATAGCTTCTACATTCCCTTGCAGCATGAGAGGATAACAGTTGCAAGGGTATATGGTGCAGAAAAGGACTGAAGATTTCAGGGAACAGAGCAGCCACCAGCACTAGGAACACTTCTCATTCAAGTACCTTCCCTTGTGCCAGAAAAAGAACAAAAAAAAAAAATCACTAAACTTCAATTTAAATGACACATGTAAAACCAGTGAAGGACTTCACCACTGCCATATGCTACAATGTAAACTTAAAACAGAACAATGTGATGAATTACTCATGAGTTCATAGTCACCTTTGCAAGGAGTTCTTCCTGGTCAGTCTTTACTCCAAACCGTGGAATACTGCAGATAGTAAAGCTAGAGCTATGGGTCAGCTTCTTCACACCACTAATTTGGGACATGGGTCTCCTCTTCTTTTCCTTCTCCTTTGTAGTTGGAGAGGGAATTTCCACTTCATGCTGTTTATCTGGTGGAAACAGTTATAAAATTATTATGTTGCACCTTCCTAAATCACATTTTCTAAGACACTGGGACTTGATAAACTCATACTTGCTAACGATGTTCCCGACAAGATTAATTGCTTAAAAGCAAGTTACCCGTAATAATTCTAAAGGTTACATTCATACATACATATATACATTCAGTTCAGCGTGTGTGTCTCCTGAGCTGGTTGAAAAATTTGCTTGTCACAAGTAAGAAGAGGTACACACTGACACGGTTCGGGAAACGCTGCGAATCCTGTGTGTTTCCAGCACCGCACTGCAATCACATGGTATTCATGCGATCTAGTGCGGGTGTCAATGTTAAATTAATGACACCCCGAAACAGATTGCTAAACACGATATATTTGCCAGAAATGGAATTGCATGTATGAGAAAACCCATGTATGAGAAAACCCATGTGATGCAATTCAGGTGCAGGTCCTGAAAGAGTCCTGCACCTTTTTGGTGCAGATGTGATGTGATGCAATTTGAGCCATACAAAAACTATGGCTCAAATCGCATTGCACAGATATTGCATGTAATTCGCAAAGGAATGTGGTGCGATTTCTGTGCGAATTACATGCGGTGTATCGCAACACATTAGTGTGAACTAGCTAGTCTCAAGCTTTTCATTTTTGTTGCATCAACATATTGCAGTAGCTATGGATATCTTGTGTAGCCATGATCCCCCACACTCTAAACTGGCCCCAGCTGCAATTTTCCAATGTAATAACCAGTACATGCAAAACTGAGATGTTAGGCTCATGTGTGTACTGAGTTTTACAGCGTAATACACAGGATCTTGTTGGCAACAAGATCCTGTGTTTTGAGTTGTTCAAATGCTGTACGCATGTAACATTTTTGTTTGCAAAAGCATGCAGTTAATGCAGCCTACTGGCTCCTACGACACAGGTGACCATTGCTACCGGATGCCCATTATACTAGGACTTGGCTGTCTTGCATCCTTTGTTGCTAGGATGCAGGCGCTGTTGCTGCCTATTGTCCTCCATTGCTAGAACACAAGAAGCCACTGACGCTTAGTTAATTTCATTGGACACAGGTGGCTCCCATACCCTGCATTTGTGCTATAGACATGTAATGTAAGATTACCACAAACTTTTTCATGTGTACAACATAAATGATGGTCTATACGCAGGACTGTGGACAGTATTTTCTAGTTTGATTTTATGGAGCTAAATGCAGTGCAAGTTTACTAATCATTACTCAGATGTATGCATGAGGTCATAACCAACCATACATCTGCATTCAGATCCACAAAAAAAGAAGGACATATGCATGAGCCCAAAAACAGTGCAAATCATTTACATTTGTGGTTTCCCAGCAAACAAGGAAAATGCTAATTAAATATGAAAATAAGCTCAATCACCAAAATGAATTGTAAACGTGTCAAAACATATAAAACATGTTACTCTGTAGGTAGGGTCCCAAAGTGTTACCCTAGTAAGCACCATATGCATCAACAAAGGATACTGTTAACCCTATTATAATTTCAGACAAAAACTATAAGCCTGTGTTGAAAATTAAACAGAAAAAAAAACCCTAAAATTTTCACACTTGTCTTATTTCACAAAGGCTGCTCTAGAGAAAGGGCCTCATTAAAGAAAGCTTCCTTTAAAATTCTGTGAACTAAGCAGAAATTTACAGTTGTTTGAGGAGTAACTCTACAGGTGGAGAACAAGAGTTCAAATTCTTGCAACAGGGAGTTGAAGTCTGTGTTCAGACGGCCGCCATTTTTTTGAAGTCTAATGGAGCCCGACAAGCTGATCATGTCTGTCTTGCACCAATCTATTTAATGCTGATCTGAAGAATACAGGTTTTGGGGTCATTTCAGAGGTACTATTTTCATTGTTTTGGGTTACTTATATTCACAGTTGTTTGTTACAAGTTTGGCAACCCTGGCTATTTCATGCTGTGCTCATAATGAAGAGAATTTAAACACATCCTTAGCAGAGAACAAACAAACTTGATGACATGTCAGATCTTGCAGCTCTACGTTTAATTTAACTTCTGCGTGGGGTTTGTATTGCCTGAGTTTTCTCTGGGTGCACTGGGTTTCTTCTTCAAAACCTAATAAATCTAAATATATACACAAATACACACACTGGTTTGACCCAAACAAAATGCTACAGAGGGTTGACATGTGACTAAGGTATGCACATTTATTTTATTTAAATGTTTCCAAATGTTGGCTTCATTGTCAACCAAGGACAAGGGTACGGAGACACTGTTTTCACAACACTCTAGTAATAAAATATAAACCGTTTGTACATTTTTGTGTGACATGCTTTTTTTTTTTTTTAACTTTAGACATTGTCAGGGTGTAATTAAAGCAGTTTTTTGTTTCTTTTTCTAAGAAAATCACAAATAAAAAACCATTTGATTAAAAAAATGCATCGGGTACATACATCAATAGTTCACTGTTGTCTGTAAAGTGCTTGCAGAAACTTTTAGAAAATATTCTTACATCATCTTGCACATACGACAAGTTTCAGGCCTACTCACAGATTTCCGATAATATTCAAATGTGGGCGATATGAAGGTCATTCTAAAACCTATACATTTACTATACACTTGGTACCAGTCATCTTAGGGACAAGCCCCTACTCCCTTGAGTACACAGCCTTGCTTTAGAAAGCTTCGCTGCATGATCCTCTTCATTCTGCACATGTGGCCTACAGCCATATTCATTTCTATGTGAAGAGCTGTACTCTGCAAGACAGTTAGCATCTGCATTTAGTATGGCTCTCCAAAGGAATGAATAGGGCAGTAGAGAGCATGCACATGACGAAGAGTACCTAGCAGGGATGCTTTTTGAAGCAAGGCTATGCCATACACAAAAGGGTCACACAGTGAAGATTGCTGTATTGAGGACCAAGATGTTTTTTTTCTCTAGGTAGGATCAGGGGGCTTGTAGCATTCCTTAAAGGACAACCTGCACCAAAGTTAGTTTTATTTTAAAGTTACTTGGTGTCCTGTGTGTTTTTTTATGCCGATCTGTGCAGTAATCCAGAATGAAACAACATATGCACTTTGTACTGGTCATTGAGAATCTCTCCCTGTAGTAGGAGGATCGGCTCAGTCCCAAACCCAGCATTGCTCTCTCCAAAAGCTATATGCAGTCTACATGCCAACAATTGTTGACAGGTAGGCTTGTATTGGAGAAGATACTCTTCATTATACAATTGTATATTACGATTTTCCTTTAGATTTACCGAAACCATATAATATGAGGTCAAGGCCCTTGCACTACAAAGTTGAAAATCTAAAGGAAAATGAACAAAAACATTTTATAACGTATGGCCAGCATAAGCGGCACATGAGTAGCTCAGAAGATGTCAGGGGAAGCAGGAAAGCTTACGGACAATGCATTACTGGAGTCAAGACAAGCAGGGTGAACTTTAGTTTCTCTTTAATACCTGGGTTTTCTGAGGTATTTGTTGCACACAAAATGGATTTATTTACATTCTTTGAGGCTATTCAGGAAAATAATTGAATGAAGATTTTGTGCCTGGGGCTTAGCTTAAATACACTTCAGTTTTAGGGACACTGCTTTTTGGTACAGCAGTACTTATAATCAGAAAATAATAATAATGGAAATTATAAGTGAATACATCAAAATGCTTACCTAAGAAGGTACTAGATATATATTCAGACACCTGATTTCCCGACCGGCTTGTTTCAGACAAGTGCGTCAGTTCTCTATTTAACATCCTCTTAAACTGCAGAAAGAAAACAGCACATCAGTAACATCCTATAGACAAACCAAAGCTATTGCTGACATGGCTTTTCTTACAGGCTTTATGGGTTTTATATATTTATCACTGAGAAGGTGAGAGATACAGATACATATCACCTTTCTGTGTTTACATTGGAGATTAGAAAGCTAAATCACTGCCGAGGAGGTGGAGCAGTCTGAGCTGCTGGGAGAGCCAACTTGAACAATATTAGTGCTTCTGCTATGAAGTTTGAGAATGAATTACTCCACAACACCAAGGTGCCCACATCTATAGCGGTCAGCTGGGGCTTGTGTTTAACCTGTTGCCAACCGCGCTGTAGCCCGTCTTTGGACATCCTCCCAGAACCGTGCACCCTGTGATCGCTGTCTCCTTCAGAGACAGCTGATCACATGGCTACAGAACGGGCCAATCGCAGCTGCTTTTGACCAGCTGTGTCCAATCATAGCTGATCACCGGGTAAATAGGAAATGCCAGTTATCGACAGTCCTGTCCTCACGCTGACAGTGCGTGAGCAGAGGAGAGCCAATAAGCGGCATTTCGCAGGAGGACATCTACACTGATCATCAAGGCAATGATCATCAGTGTCCTGGTGATCAGTGTAGCCCCATCAGTGCAGCCAGTAGTGCCCATCTGTGCTGGCCATCAGTGCTGGCAATCAGTGTTGCCTAACAGTGCCCATCAGTGCTGCCTAACAGTGCTGCCCCTCAGTGCCGCCTAAGAGTGCTGCCCATCATTGAAGGATAAAATTATTTATTTACAAAACTTTATAACAGAAACTAAGAAAACTTTTTTTTTCAAACTTTTTGGTCTTTTTTTAGTTTGTTTAGGAAAAAATAAAAACCCCAGTGGTCATCAAATACCACCAAAAGAAAGCTCTATTTGTCTCAAAAAATGATAAAATTTAGTTTGGGTAAAGTGTTGCATGACCGTGCAATTGTCATTCAAAGTATGAGAGCGCTGAAAGCTGAAAATTGGTCTGGGCAGGAAGGGGGTAAAAGTGCCTGGTAGGCAAGTGGTTAAGATCATGTACTATTTTTAAGAAAATGTAAACACTCCAGTCTCCACAGGTTCACCTTGAAGACCAGCTTGAAAGTCAGTATTTAGAGGTAAAACAAATCATCATGCATCTTTCTGGGAGCTAACCAAAAGTAAAAACATGCAAAAAAATAAAAAAAATGCAAACAAGCTGTATTACTCCACAACAAAATACCAGTCCTAAGCCATGAATCATTTAAAATCCAATGTTATAAAATAATTTAAGACTTAGCAAAAAAATATACATATACATATGAAATAGGCGGCCGTGGCCAAAAAGGAGGCTGTGCTGTACTTATATTGGTTGGAACCTAAGTAAAACTGAGAATCAGTAATTTCATAATGTAACATTACTACCCTAACATGTCTTAAATCTGAAATACATTTGCCACAATTTGCTATTGATATATGGATATAGTTAACCTATATGCTTAAATCCGACAGTGAAAGTGTGTTTGAAAGCGAAGACTCAACATAGATCTATATACAGTAGCTAGTAGAAATAAATCTGAATTAAGACAGACTACCCAAATTTCCTTACTAAAGTGGTGTGCAATTTAGAATGTATAGCATACAAATAAACATAATTATTCGACGTAGTACTTATAAAGTCACCCATCCAGATTCCAGAGCCATGGACATGCCAAGGATGCTCAATGTGTGTGTGTGTTGCAGCGAACCTGCTTTGTCAAAAAGAACAGCCGTGTGGATGCATGTCCCTGAACACAAAGAGTTTGGAACAAGCAACTGCACTCCTCTCAAATAGGGACCAGAGGCTATATCTGTGCAGCAGTAGCATTCCAATGCACATAAAAGGGACAGCCTGTGCATCACATGCGAGCAAAGATGGCCCTTTGTAAAGGTGTACGCATAGGTAGGCCCATGTGAATAAGGTGTAATCATTTCAAGGACACTTGAACTGAGAAAAAACTAGTGGTTGTTTTTCTTTTGAAAATGCTTGCTGTTTGGCTGCTTCAGTAGTCTATGTGACTGAAACAAGTAAGTGGCAGGTAAAGTTCTGATACCTGCTCTGCATGCTTTCTTCAGGTCAGTAGCATCATCAGTTCAGCATGATAGCCAGGCATTTAGCATTTTCAGGAGTAAAGGTCAACAATGGCACCTTGCATTTATTTTTAGTACTATGGAGAGCTCCAGTCAGAACAGTTGGTAGCCTCACTATAGCAGCAAAATTATCCATACTCCAGATATACAAATAAATTCTTGATTTTGTGTTGATATCAAACTCCTGCAATGTAGTAGTGCACAGACAAGAGGGGCGTGCCATAAGGTCTCTGTGCCAAATCCCCATCTTTAGGGTTAGTTATCACATGCACATTAATGTGCATTATGTCACCTGTTAACATGCAATGTAGAGAAGTAGCCCATTTATTCTGAATAGGCTGCCAGTTCACAATGGACCTTTTATCGCATATGTATCAGAGCACCACAACACACAAATGGTTCACATTAGTGCAATGTGGTTTGCAAACCATTCCATTTCCATTGTGGTGCACTGGTGTGCCATTTCAATTAAATGGCACCATGCCATGCAGCCCTGTCTATCACTATTGGTTCTGTTGCTTTGGAAAGATAACCCTTCATTTGCCAATCCCTTTCAGTGCATCTAAATTACACACATGCTGCATAATAGCCACCCACTTACCATTTGAACACCAGCCTACCATGTATATAAAGTACAATAAAGAAATAAAATTAACCCTCAAACTGCTGAAAACAAGAAAAAAACTGTTTCAGCACTATGGAGAGTGCCAGTCAGCAAAGTTGGTAGCCTCACTACTTAGGGATATACTGCAAAAATATGCAAACTTTCCACTGTCACATTTACCACAATTCTAAATACAAAATGTGTGATATCAAGGGACACCTGTGCATCCTGCTTTGGCAAAGATGTCAGTTTGCATAGTTGTACATATAGTTACGCCCATGTGAATGAACTCCAAAAAGTTCAAGGAGACCTGGCCTGATAGAAAACTAGAGGCTGCCATTGCTGACTTTCCTTCTGAAAATGCTAGCTATTTGGCTTCTTCAATAATCTATATGCCTGTAACAAGTATGCTGCAAGTAAAGTTCTGTTGTAAAGTACCTGTTCTGCATGCTTTCTTCAGATCAGAGACTCAAAGTATTGGCATCATTGGTTCAACATCATAACCAGGCATTTAGCATTTTCAGGAGTAAAGGCCAACAATGGCATTTAATTTCAGCACTATGGAGAGCTCCGGTCAGCACAGTTGGTAGACTCACTATAGCAGCAAAAATCTGCATACTTTGCACTCTCACATTCACCGCAATTAGAAATACAAATATATGATCAACTTTACGAATGTGCTTTGTGTAAAGTTCAACATTTGGATATAATGTCCTCCTCAACTGTTTTAACATGGAACCCTTGAAACAACTTTTAGGTCTCAGGGAACCCCTGCTAAAAATTACTATATCTACAGCAAATGGTACATCAGTGTGATGGTCAGTGGGAAGAATTTCCCCCTCAGAGAGCTAAAAAACAAACTTCTGGCAGTGGTAGCTGATCTGCTAGACAGAAATTGCTCATCTTGTTTACACTTGTAGCTGGGGGTGGTAAAAATAGGTAGATGAGCTGTGGTTTTATGCACCCCAAAACCCAACACAGCAGGTTGTGCACATGCTATGGCAAAAATGACACCTCCTGCTGGGTGTGGTGCTGCTAAAAAAGGGGACACATTGCAACCGTGTTCAGTGTAGTTGGCTGTGGTGTGGGTTTACAGGGCTAAAATAGGCTATATGGAGGCAACATACTGCCTCCCAGCTTCCTGTCAAATGCCCTCTGAAAAGGGATCCACCACAAATCACTCTTCAAAGGGGCATCAAGGACTATGGCAAGTGAGACCTACTTACCTCTGGAGGAACCTGGTTGAATATGGCTAATATAGTTAGTGGTAGATACTTGTATTAAACAAAACAAGCCCAGCTAAAAAGTATCTATGATAAAAATGTAAAATCATATATTCATTTCCACACTGTATTTCAATTATTTCTAGCCTACTCGTATAAATTTTGAAGCCTATAAATTTATAAAGATCCCACAGATTTACTACATTGTATTCTGTGACACATATTCACTATGCCCTGTATGTAGGCACTGCTGTGTTACACGTTTCACAGAGCCTGCCTTCTGAACTACAGAGGTGCTGAGAGGAGGAGTTTCAAGAGGCGGAGTCAGTACAGGAATCACTGCTTGAAGGCAGCAAGGTACCATGGGACATGTAGTCCTTAATAATGTAGGAGCTGCAAAGCATGAAGGGAAACCAGGAAGTGTGGAAAGAGATGGTCAGCAGACAAGCAGAACTCCCAACTTGAAAGGATATATTTCAAGTAAGTTTCTAATAAATTTTTAAAAGTAACTATTGTTTGTACTATTACAATGCTGAAGTTATCAAATGAAAAGTCTATGCTGACCATAGAGATCTTTCAAAGTCCAACGCTGGGCACAATACAAAACAAAAGATGCCCTTGACCCCCCCCCCCAAGCAAGGGTTAAATGCTTACTAAGTCTGGGGGGTTGCAGAAGAGGTTATATTACTTACCTGTCGCTCTCCTCTTCTACTACTCTCCCTGAAGCTCTGAACTGTGGTGGAGCCTCTGCATCATCATCACATACAGAGCAAGGCTACAACCTCTATATTGTACATGCTCTAGGCATGTACAGAGGTAGCTATGGTGGCTTGGTTGCACAGATCAAGCTGAAGTGAGAAGGGAAGTAACACTGTCTGTTCTGCAACCCCCTAGATTAGGTAGAATTTAACCATTGCAGTGTGGGCTCCCCACACCAAGGGTACTTTATTGTTGTTGTTGTTGTGTCCAGAGTTGGGCTTTAAATCAGAACTAAACCCTCCTATTGTTTTCAGCCAAGGAAGCTGCCATCTTAGCCTCTGATCTGCAACTGCCATGGT